AATTGGAAAGAAGAAGCCTGAAAAAATCAGGGCTTCAACGGGATTCGAACCCGTGACCTCCGCAATACCGTTGCGATGCTCTACCAACTGAGCTGTGAAGCCACACATTGGGAGTGAGGTCAATTAATTGAGTTCATCTCTTCCCGTGAGGAGTGAAATGATGTGAAGTATATATGGAATAGTTCATATTTGAACTGCGGTTACAACATTGAAAAGGGGAGAGGGGGTCGAAATGTGAAATTGGAGATTTAAAAACACATCTGTTCAACAAAACAGGTCTTGCTTGGGGAGTATCTCAACTGCTGTTGTTCATGATTATCGGTAATGAAATGTGAAAAGTGAATTGATCAACGTGACGCAAGCGTGGATCACATTGTTAATTTTTTTCCTGTCATAAATTGGCTCAGAAGTGGGTTTGTTTACGCCACTACTGGGTCTTTGAATCAGCTTATGTGCCGTCTACAAAACATTCATAAAAAATCTGCTGGTAGTGTGAACCCTGATATCATAATTTTGTGCTGAAAAATGACCAAGTCAGATGGAAAAGACATCTGATTTCACTGTAATGGTTCCTAGGGCTGTCAATAAGGGCTGTAACCTACAACACCTGTCACAGCTGAGTATGTTTGATGGACTCTGGCCTTGATGTTATAGTTGAATTTGCCTGTAGTTGATACAATTTAGCCATAATGTAACAAGTTTGTCATGAATGGGTGTGAAGAAATTCCTGCTTATCAACAGATTTCAACTTTTGTTATAATTTCTTCAATTTTTTTGTGATAAGTGTACATGCATTGTAATGTATTTGTTTTGATGTCAGGTTTTGTGTTCAGTTGATTGTAGTTGCAATAAAAGAAGGAATAAGAAAAATAAGTTTACTAACATGTACATTTAACTGCATCTAATGAAACTTTTTAATAAACCACACTAGAAAGATTACTGAAAAACATAATTAACCAAGAGTGTGGTCTCTTCTGTTTAGTATGCAGATCAACTTTATGGTCCTGAGCACGACCGACAAGAAGATGATACAGGCAATGAAAGTGATACTGAGGACATTGAAGAGGCTCTGGCAAAGGAAGTCAAG